GGGCATGGGCCGCGCCAGATACACCAGCTACGAGCTCCGCATGCGGGTGCGGCCCCGGTCGGGCCTGCGGGGCTGGGCTGCCCGGTGCGCGGGTGTGCGGCCCGGGGAGGGGCGGCAGCGCTCGGGACGCGGCGGCCGAGGGACGGCGGCCGGGTAGGGCCGGAGCGGTGCCGCTGCGGAGCGGCGGGGGGCGGAGGAGGCGAAGCCCCGGGCTGGGGCGAGCCTGCGGGGCTCAAGGTCAGAGCTGATGGGCTCGCCCGGCATCCAGCGGGGGCTGCTGCGCGCACGGACAGCGAGCTGCTGCCTCAGCAGCTCCGGAGCCCCGCTGGGTGGCTGCTGAGCAGGGCACGGCTGCACGGAGCTGCTTATCTCAGGCAGGGGAGGAGAGCTGGGCGGCAGTAACGTGGGGCTGCTCTACCGAGAGCCCGTGGCCTAGGAGTGTGCATAGCAGCGTTCTCTTCATTGGGCCTTAAACGAGCTGAACTGGGGACCCCTTCACAGCTCTGCGGCTGATAGATGGGCAGAGTAAAACTGAGCTTCCCCTAAAACAAAGTCCCTTTAGCATGTGTTGTGGTTCTGGTTTAACTTTTGCTTATACTGTGATTTGCTTATAGTGATCAGTCTCCTCTGCTTTTCAGAAGAATTGGTGTTTGCTTTTTCCTGCTCTGGTGCTTGGCTCCCATCAGCCTGCAGGTGGCAATGGGAACCTCTTAGTCCCACTGAAACCAGCAGAGATGCTCTGAAAGCAGCTGGGTTTATTTCACAGACTCATAAGAACACAGTTAATTGTGTTGCAGTAATATCTAAGTGCTGTCCATATGAAGGTTTTGTTACCTCAGTTCCTGGAATGATTCAGACTGTGTTGATGGGGTAAAGTTAATGCAGGTGTCATTTGTTGGACTCCAGTGGCAGGGAAGAAAGGTGAGGAATTGCTGCACAGTTCTCCAGTGACAAGATGGGCATGAAAAGCCTGGTAGGGTGGGTGCTGTCTTTTGGGAGAAGACTGTAGATAAGGTCTAGCCTTGAACAGTTGCTGGGACAAGATTTCCTCAGTTAGTTCTTCCATGGAGATGCCACTGTCAGGCCAGATGTTCTTTTGCTCTTCAGGCTGCTGCAAAACTCTCTTGTAGATTACTTCAAAATGGAGTAAACTTGGGTGAAAGAAATATTATTCTCCTGACAGTCATATTGTCAGCACTGGTCCCAGTGTGTGCCCCTGGGAAGGGGGCATGTTCCAGAAATAGTCACTCAAGGGAGAGGGAATGCCTGGCACTGAGCAGACTGGCTTGCTTGGATCTGAAGGATTGTGGTGATTGTGCTGTCCTGAATAAGGGAGTTGAGTGTTCCCATCATGCATCCTCAGGAGGTTTGATTTTCTCACTGCAGCTTCAGTTTTCAGTTATATGTGTGGCTTCCAGATCAACCTGCAAATAAACTGCTTTGCTTCATTACAGACAAACCTCCCCATCTTCAAATTGAAGGAGTCGTGTGTGAGGAGACGATACAGCGACTTTGAGTGGCTGAAGAATGAGCTGGAACGAGACAGTAAGGTGAGGCCTGGCTCAGTCCTCCCTATTCCTTAAGCCAGGATGTGGGAACAGTTGCAGCAATAATCTTGAGATTCCCAGAAGTGGTGGTGCATGTTGCACCCCAGATACTTAAATCTAGGGGTTAAACTAAGATTCCTTTTCTCTAGTTTGGTACAAGGAGAAATGCCAACCAGATATTCTCAAGAGGTCACAAATGCACAAAAGTTTACTGGCAAAAATAAGGAATTTTGGCAAAAGAATTCATACATTTATTATGACATTACTTAGCAATAAATTACTATTAACTTAGCGTAATGTTATCCTGCTTAGAAACCTTTAAAACCTTAAGGTTGCTATGTTACCCAGAAAAGTTCCATGAAAAGATGATTAGAAGGAAAAGAGAGAGAAAGACAGAAAAGGTACAGAAAAACACACATAGCTGCCAACTTCTAGGGTTCCAGCATGGGTGAGATGAAAACTCCAGGAGAATGCAGGGGCCAGGCAAGTCCCTCATGGGAGGTTTTAAACCCCAGGGCTTTTGTGGCTGCCTCCCAAGGTGGAGCTTCTGGCCACTCAGGGGCTGGGTTAGCACCACCCTCAGTGTGATTGATGAACAGCTCTGCCGGGCCTGGGATGTTGGCTCTGGGCTGTGGGGTGGAGCCCTTCACAAGCCCTGATGTGCCACTCCCACCAAACATGCACACAGGCATTTGCCAAGCATCCCAAAATGTTTTGAGACATGAAACTTGACCAGTCTCTGGCAGTGGGCACCTTCTGCTCTGTCCATGTGATGGCACTGGAGATGAGCATCAAACAGCAAAGGATGTCTGGTGGCTGCTGTGCTCATGGGGTGATGCTGTGCTTTCAGATTGTAGTGCCACCGCTGCCTGGAAAAGCTTTGAAACGACAGCTTCCCTTCCGAGGAGATGAAGGCATCTTTGAGGAGTCCTTCATCGAGGAGCGGAGACAGGGCCTAGAACAGTTTATTAACAAGTAAGTTTCATGTCCTGGCTTTGCTGTGTGCTGCCTTTTTAGCTCTTGCTGGGCCATGAATTGACTGTGAGAGAGTCTCGAGTCTTGACCTGCTTCTGGCAGGTGCCAGTGCTGGAGGGTGGCACCTGCAGCCACGGAATGAAACTGGAACTGGAGCAAGTCCTGCCCTGAGTGGGGGCTGTGCTTTGTGCTCTCTCCTGAGAGCATAGTGAGTATTAGCAGAACAGCTGTGCTGCAGGGACCCACCAGCACGGTACTGTTGGTTCAGGGCACGGCCTGGAAGGGAACAGCCTGTGCTCAAGCACCTCTTACAGGTCCTGTTGCAGAGCCATGCGTGACCTTGGGCTGAGCGCGCTGCAGGTGTGCTGAGCTGGCTGCCTGACTCCCTCCTGACACGTCAGAGGTGTGGGAGTCTTGGAGGCAGCTGTGCTAACCTCCACATCTGATTTTCTTCCAGAATTGCTGGACACCCACTGGCACAGAACGAGCGCTGCTTACATATGTTCCTGCAAGAGGAGACTATTGATAGGAATTACGTCCCAGGGAAAGTGCGCCAGTAGGAGCACCTGGCACTGTCTTCCTCCATTCCACCCTCCCTCCTGCAAAAATGACATTTATTTTTACACTAAATCTGTCTTCTCTGAACCAGCTTTTCCTCTCTTGAACCTCCCAGTTTGTTCAGTATTTTCCTCTTCTGTAACTGGCAGCAGTTTGTTCTACTGGGCTGTGGTCGTGGCCTAAAGATGTGAAGATTTATGCAAGTGAGTGTGTTGTCCCACGTCTAGGGGCAGATGTGGATAGGTGTGGAGCAGGAACTTGCTAATGGCGTTCTGGTGTAGGAGCTGCCTCTCTCCCTGTACAGGAAGATAAGAGATGACCTTCACTCCCTTGTCTGTGCAGCCCCAAGCATCTCTGCAGGAGACGTTGAAGAATAGCAGTTGTCATGTTGGTCAGTGATTATATCAGGTATTAGAGTTTTAGTAAGGTTTATCCAAACCAGTGAGTAGGTGCCTGGGTGTGTCAGTCTGTCATCCACCCCATTCACCCTGCATGAAACCCTCATTCTTCACTGTCTGGAAGTGCTGAGACCCAACACCTACTCAAACCCCGCTATCAGCCTCCTGAATTACAGACCTATTTGGTGTATTTGTGTCCCCTCCTTTCTAAGGTGCTGCTGGCAGCTCGAGGGGTTTCCATCCCATGTGCTCTCATGATGCTCTTTGTGGGCCATTTGGCATGTGGAAGATGGGATAGTCTGGGCTGTAGCCACATGTGCTGTGATGCATTGGCCCAGAGTTTAAGAAACACCACAGCCTGCTGTAGCATGGGCTGCTGGGCTGGTGTTGCCTGCAGCACCGGGCTCGGCTGAGCCTAGTGACCTTATCCTGGGCCCCAGCTGCTGGGAGGAGCAGACTGGCTGGCTGAGGAGGAGCAAGAGAAGGCTGGTGGGAGCAGTTGTAGGGTGCAGCTATGATGGCTGCCACTGGAGGAGCCCAGCAGTGGGGCCTGGAGTGAGGCCACCTCTCCAGAAAAGGACAGCAGAAAATGGGAGTCAGTCCTAGGTTAGACATTGCTTACAAAGCAGGAGAAGTAGCAGTGGCTCTTTGTGTGTTCTCCCCTGTTCTGCAGTGAGCTTGGCAGTCACTTGTGTGGAAGTGAGAACATTTGACTGGTCAGGGAAGTGGTCAGAGCTTGAGGGGACAATGAGGCTGTGACTTGCTGCAGCACAAGTGTCCTTTGGAGGCTCCCCCAGCTGCCACAGCTGTGATGAGTGAGGTTGGGCCTCAGCTCGGGGGCTCCTCAGGTCAAGGCTGGCTGGTTTAAAAGTGCTTGGTGACTTTGTTGTGGCACAGTTGAGCCTTTCTTGGAGCACAGGCCCAGAGTGGATGCCCTCCTGTTCCTACCAGGCACGTTCCCCGAGGCCTTCCCAACGTCCCCTCTGTTTTCTGGCGAGGAACTGGTACTGCTGGGCGAGAGGTGGCTCTTGGGGAGAAGTCGCTGAAAGCGCGGGGGAGCTGCTCCGGGGGCTGGCTCCGTCCGGAAAGGGCCGTGGGGCAGCGCGGAGCCCGGTGCCGGTGGAGGCGGCCGTGGCCTCGGAGGGGCTCGGTCCCCGCCTCCTGCTGCCGCCAGTCGCGCTCGGGGCGGCTCCTTCCCCTGCCCTGCGCGGGGCTGCCATCCATCCAGCTGTCTGCACCCTGTCCAGTGTAACGTCCCGGTGCCGTTCGCATTAAACCACTGTGAAGCCAATTGTCTGCCTGGTCCTGGGGGCTACCGGGACGGGGGAACCGCCGGGACAGAGCGGGCTCCGGCGGGGCGGGGGAACGGCCGGGGGAAGGTGGACACGGGTGGGGCGGGGGAACGGCCGGGGGAAGGTGGACACGGGTGGGGCGGGAGAACGGCCGGAACGGAGCGGGCGGGGCCGGCACAGGGCGGAGGCGGGCGGGGCTCCCCGGTTCTCCCCGGCGGTTCCGAGGCGCGATGTGGCTGCCGAAGTCGCAGCCTGGCCCCGGCTCGCCGGACTGCCCTGACCTGCTGCAGCACGTCCCGGCGCTGCGCTCGCCGGCCACCCCGCTGTACCTCAGCTTCTTCGAGGAGGAGTGTCGCGCCATCGCCGCCCGCCTGCGCCGCGGGGCGGCCTCGGAGCCCTCGCCGCAGCCCAAGCCCCCCGGGCCCGCCACCTCCACGCCGCTGCCCTTACCGAGCCACGGTCGGCTCCCCGACTGGAGCGCGGGCGATTGCAAGGCCGCTGCTACCCCTGGCCCGGCCCCGGCCCCGGGGGAGCCCGGGTCCCTCCCGCAGCCCGCGGCCGGCGGTGGCCCCGGCCCCCGCCCAGCTCGCCCGCCCGCTGTGTCCCGGCGGGCGCGGCGCGGCCCCGAGCTGCCCTCCGGCGGCGGCCCCGGCACCCCTGCCCGCTCCCCGGGCCGCGGCCGCGCCAGGCTCGCTCTGCCCCGCGAACGGGCCTCGCTGGGGCTGCAACTCCCCGCGGCCGGCACGGGGCGCGGCGCCTGGGAAACGCGGCTCCTGCGGCCCCCAGGTAAGCGGGGGCACGGCGGGGAGCCCCAGCTCGGCACCGCCCGCCCGGCCCTGCAGACCCCCCTCTCTGCCCCAGGGACCAGGCTGAAGCTGACCTCGCCTGCCAGGTCCAGGCTTCCACGTGCCAGCGGGGCTTCGCAGCAGGCACAGCCTTCCAGCCTTCCCAAACTCGCCCCCCGGGCCAGAGCGGTGAAAAGTAATTCTGCACCTGCCAGTTGCATCGCGCGAAGCAGGGAAGCACGTAGGTTACGGTGCTGCACCGAGAAGGGAGAAGGGGAAGGGCTTGGGCTGCAGCCCAGAAGGGGACAGGGCATGGGGAGTCCATGGGAGCGGCACAGGTAGGAGTCTAGGAAATAGTCTCGTACCCCGAGGGGTGTGTTAACACTGCCTGGCCTCCTGCCAGTGTGGGCTGGCAGCCTGTTGAGTTTGAAGCCTTCACCCCGTGGTGTTGTGGGGTCACAGGTGCCTGTGCTCCTAGGGCAGGCAGCCTGGCTGACTGAGCCCGGGCCTGCCTGAAGAAGGTGCAATGGATGTGCTTGGGAATAGCGGCCTCTGTGTTTACTGTTCGCTACAGCTGCTGCCAAGGTTGGGAGTTGTAAACAGCCCTCCTCAAAGCTTTCTACAGGAATTTCTACTGTGGCTTCTCGCTCCTCACTGCGGCCTCCAGAAAAAGTGATTTCGTTCAAGCGTTTTGGCCTCAATAGAGGTGAGTCTTGGCAGAAGCCTCAGAGGCTGCAGAGTCGTGGGAGAGGGGCACTGCTGCCGTGGGAAGAACATCCAGGTCCTCGCTGCAGGGTCAAAGCTCATCCTGGGGAATGGACTGGGGGGGTACTGCATGTGCTTGGACTCGCAGGAGGGGAGGTAAAGTGCAGAGCAAGCAAGGCTGGGTGAAGTCCTTTCCCTCTTTTGCTGGAGAGGCATCCAGCAAAGAATCTGAACAAATCTGGTGCCTGAGGCTCATTCATAGGAGAGGGAGTGGCCGTGATCAGTCTCTTAGCAGGGGTTGATGCTCTTTATTTTACTTCCCTGGGTCTCGCTTCAGAATCAACTACAGAAGAGCTGGTGTGCAATAGGACCCGAGAGCTGAAGGAAAATTATAAGAGCAAAGAAAGGCTGGTTGCAGCAAGCATTGTCTTGGGAGCAGGTGAGCAGTTTGGAGGTGTAGATTCTTGCCTCGTGTTGGGGGGTGTGTCGAGAAACATGGGCAGCTGCTTGTTGGGCAGTGCTGCTCCCCAGCTGGGCCCTGTCTGACCAGGTGAGGCCCTGGCTGAGGGTGCTCCAGCCTGTGCTGCAGGCAGGGGGTGCTGCCTGCCCAGGAACTGCAGCCGGGCAGCCCGCAGTGCTGAGCCCTGCGAGGGAAGGGAGGCCGGGAGGCTCTCCCCACTCTCTGCGACAGCCCTGTCCCACCCTGCCCGGGCAGCTATGCCCTCTCTGTGAGAGCAGACTCCCAGCAGCAGCCCAGAGCCTCTGGGAGCAAGGCCATGCAGGAGCACTTTGTCCCAGCAGCGCCCATACAGGCCAAGCCAGCAGCAGCTGTTGGGCTGGAAGTGCTGGGAGACTTCTGGCTCTCTTGGACAGGTTCTCTCTTTCCCTGATCTGGAGCAGCTCTGTGGCCAGGTTGAGGAGGGGCTGAAGATGGCAGGTTTCTAATGCTGATACCTCTCTTCACAGGTAGAAATGACCAGACATGGGAGTATGTGGAGTCCTCTTTGTCCAGTGATGCAGTTCCTGCTGAGCAGGTAAGAGCCAGCTGTGTCCTGTCACTATGGAGCACTGTTCAGTCTCTGGCTTGGGCCAGCTATGCCAGAGGTAGGAGATGATGAGACCCGGACCTGCCAATTTCTGGCTGGCACTTGAGCTGTTTCAGCCTTTCTCTGGGGTTTACACAAGCACATGGGCGTTTTTTGCCTGGCTTTACCAGCTCTCTCTGCTCAGGGGACTGCAGCCTTCTGTCCAGCTAGATTTTCTAAGGGCCTTTTGAAACATGCAAACTTCATGTGGCTTGTGTTGTCACTTTTATATGTCCTGACATGTAGGACATGGCCCCAGGATGGGGTGTGCAGAGCCTGCAAGATGAATCTCCGAGTTAAGAAATCTTCTACCTGCAAAATAAGTTTGTGCATTTCCAGCAGTTTTAGGGCTCTTCACTCTGTGGCTGCAGCCAGCCAAAGGCATTCTTGTTTCCCCTGGGTGCTGGCAGATGCTGCCTACAGCAGCTCCTTTGCCAGGCACTGCTCCTGTGATGGATGTGCCCTGGCAGTGGTCCCCAGGGGGCTTGGATGGGCTGCAGTGCTCCTCCAGGGGATGGGCTGTGCTGTGGCTCTGTTGTGGGGGGGTCCAACTCCCTGCATCACACTTACACCCTGCTCTTGCCAGTCTGCAGGTGATCAGCTGTCCCAGGAACTGGAGCGTGTGAAGAAAGAGCTGGAACGAGTGAAGGGCGAGCTTGGTATGTGGAGCTGGCTGTTCTGAGGGCTGCAGGACACCTGTAGTCCAGGTGACATCCCCTGTGCCTGTACCTGGAGCCTAGGGCCTGCAGTTCTGTGGGAGTGGGGCTGGATTCATGTTTAGGGGGTAGAGCAGGATCTCAGGGCTGCCCTAGAGAGTCTGGGAGTGAGGTATTTAGGATGGGCTGAGCACACACCTTCTTGCCTCCTGTCTGCAGCTGACAAGACTGCCCAGTGTGAAGCCTATGAGCAGACAATCTCCTCCTTGCAGGCTCAGCTCAGAGCAGCAGGTATGTTCCCTCACTGTGGTGAGCCCTCACTTCTGGACAGGCTGCAGGGATGCTCCAGTGGTCCCTTGAGGGCTGTGAGGTGGGAGGGATACAGCTCATGGCCTCTCCCAGGGGTCAGGTGCTGAGTGCCAGGAGCATTACTGCTTTGATGTTGCTTCCCAGGAATCTGAAAGATGCAGCAGTGTTGGACAGTGGTGACCTGGGGAGAGACTGACAGCTGGGACATGGGGACAGACAACAGTGTCCAGCTGTGTGAGCCCCTGGGCCAGTGATATATGTAGAGCTCTTGAATTAATTAATTTTTTAACTCCTTGTATGTAAAATAAAGGTGTCTTTTGCAGTGGTGTTTGCTGTCTGCTTGGGTCGAGGCAGTGCCCTGGGTGAACAGGACAGGTCTGTGCTTGGCTATGGCTGGTTTTGCTTAGCCAGAGATTTGAGGCCTGTTACAAGGAGGAGCTGGGGGCTGGTGGATGGAGGTACAGTGTGGCTCTGGGGAAGCATTCTGGACATAACTGATGCTTCCAGGTGGGATGCTTGGATGTGTGGTGGTGGTAGGCAGCTGTATGGGCAGGTTTCTTCCTTAGGCCACCTTCACATTGGATGTGGGAAAAGCCAATGCTGGCTGATGGCACATGAGACTTCTGCAGGCTTTGGCTATTTATTACTGCTTTATTATCAGTGACTAGGGGCACGTGGTGGGAAGCAGCACTCAGGACTCAGACCAGTCCCTCACTGTTCCTGCATGCTGGCCCTGCTCTGCTGCCTTCTCTCTGTGCTGGGTTGATGCAGGCACCTTCTTGCACTGCCTTGTGTCTGGGTGAGGCACTGGAGACTCTGGTGCTGGCAGTGCCCTGGGGCTGGGCTGGGAAGGCTGGCCTGTTCCTGCTCCTGTTATTTCTGGCTGGTGTTCCTGCTGCCTTGGAATGCACATTCACAGATAGCCCACACCCCTTCCCGGGGCACTGCCCTGGGCTGTGTGCAGGGGGGGCTGCACAGGAAAGCTGTGCTGGCTGTCTCCCACCCCTGCTTGGCACTTGGTTGCTGGGGCAGCTCCAGTGCTGGCACAATCTGCAGCAGAGAGCCCTAACAAGCTGTGTGTTCCATCTATATGCATGGTGAAGATAGTACCTGCACCAAGAAGTTAAGGGAGTTGACTCAAAAAAGTGCCCTGCTATTTGTAACCAGAGAGGGTCCCTTCCAATCTAAAATACTCTAATGTTTCATTTAGGAAGCTGGTGGGGGCATCCAAGGACTGATGTGGATCTGTTTCTGCAGGGCTTCTGGCTCCCTTTATGGGCTGGAGCCATCTCCTACCCTCCTTTGATGCTGGCTATGTGCGCTTTGCCACTGTTTGCCTTCCTGCTGCTCCTGTTGAGACATGCACTTGGCTTGTTCCATGCCTCTGCCTGCTCCCAGCCCTTGGCCTGTGCTGCTGGATCAGGGCCCTGGATGATGGGAATGGGGAGCAGTAAGACTGGGAGGTGAGGATGGGACACTGGGAAGACATATGTGAAGCTGCACGTGAGGTTTGGGAACTGGAGACATGTTCTGGTGTCCTGATGATGCTCCTTCCTGGAAAGTGCCTCCCACTGCTTGATGTTGCAAGAAGATTTCTGGAAATAGGGAAATGTAATCTGCCCCCTTGCTACTCTGGGTACTCTGCCTGCTTGTCTGAGACAGGGTGACGCTGCTTGGAGTCCTGCTGTGCCCGTGGTGCTGCCTATTCTGTCTGAGACCATTCTCGGCGATGGTGCTGCCCAGGTGGGTCCTTGCCTACAGCTGTCAGTCCTGGAATGAGTGGGAAGTGTCTTGAGCACCTCTGACCCCCATTTACTTCGTCATGGGGGTCATGGGGGCAGAGGTGCTGAACTGCGCGTCCTCGATTCTAGGAAGCGGGGGCAGAGCACTTCACAATGCGTCACTTCCAGTCAGAAGCATGAGCTGATGTTTCCATCACCGCATACTCAGCCGTTTGCCCCCGCGGAGGACGCGGGGGAGGCACCGCCTGGCGCTCCCGCCTGCCCTGCCCTGTTCCCCTCCGCTCTGCAAGAGACTGACAAGCTTTTTGCCTCGCTAGCGGGAACACCGGAGCAGGGCATTGCCGACGATGCCGGCGAGGGGCTGGTTTACCTCCCTGAGCTGCCGCTCTGAACGGGCGCTCACGGCACGCCAGCCCTGGATCGCATCAGGCGCGGCCCGGTGACGGGCGGCTCCCAGCCTGAGTGCGGGACAGCACGCCTCGCTCCTGGCTGCCCAGCAGTGCTCCCAGGACTGGCGTTTCCCATCCCTTAGTGCCTGTTGCTCCCAGAACTGAGGGGCTGTAGCGGAGCAGCCGGAGGTCGGGGAGAGGCCCCGCACAAGGCGCGGGCGGAGCTCCGCTCGCAGCCCCCGCAGCGGGCTGGCCTCGCCAGGCTCCGTTGTCATGGCACAGCTGGGCTCGGGGCACCCTCAGCAGCTCCCTCCGTGGCATTTCCCCAGGGAGCAAGGTGCCTTGCCATGCTCTCTTGCCCGCAGCAGCCGCATTCCCGCCAGTCGAGCCATGCCTGGGTTCGTCCCCCTTCCGAAACGAGCGCGGGGGCGGATGGAGCTGCCCTGCGTCCCGCCCTCCCTTTCGTACCACTACCAGGGCGGAACTCATCCCCCTCTCCTCTTTCGGCGCGAAACGGAACAGAGTTCACCTAAAGGGGATCCACGGATCGGGCCGGGCCGAGCCGAGCCGCAGGTAAGTGTGGTGCCGCAGGTGAGCGTGGCGGTAAAGGCTTGGCGCAACCGGTGCCGTTCTTGCATCATCTGCCCAGCGCACACGCGGCCGGCTCCTTCCGCTCCTGCCGCGCTCCAGTTCTGCCGTACGCGGGTTCCGCGGCAGCGCAGAGCCTGACTGGCATTTCTGGGGACGCAGATGCCCCCGCGGGGGCTGAGGCGGTGGTCCCGAGCTAACAGCTCCCCACACCTTCGCCAAGTCAGGCGGGATGCGATAGTCGGTGCCGGGCTACGGTAGGCGCCGGGATGCAGCGGGAGGCTCCTGCTGCCGCCTCACCCATGCGGATCTCGAGTCCGGCTGCTGGAGGTACTTGGAACAATTGAGCAGCGCTGGGAAAGGCAGCTAGACTTGCCCAGGTAGTGTTTGAGGAGGGTGCTGGTGCTGGGGGACTTGTTGCACTTGGGGTAAAGGCTGAATGTGACACGTGCCAGCTCGGGAGGAGGTTTACCAAGAAGCAGGATGGTTCGCTGGTTATGGGGGAACAGCCCCGAGTTGGTGGCTGCCGGTTGTGGTCCTAATAATCCTCTATGGAAACGGTCACAAAGTTATCCTTGTGTGCTTAGGCTGATACAGTAATGTGGCGTGCGTGCTGGGCACGCGGATGGAGTGTGCTCACTTTGCCGATGAAGGGCGAATGCGCTGGTGGCTGGGTGGTTCGGTGTGGGCAGAGGTGCCAGCTGTGGCCGTGGGCATTGGGAACCGCTTTCCTTGCGGCTCCTCTGTGCTGGATGCTTGCTTCACGGGTTGCTCATCTTCTGAGCTTTTTGGGAATAGGTGGCAGCTGTGAGCAGGAGGAGTGGGGATGTCACACATTCGAGGTGATTACAGCCTGTAGAGCTTGCAGACTACTTAGCAGACACTGTTAGCAGGCAAGGGGCTTGCACCAGGAACCCATACTGTGTGTCTGTCTGCTTATGCATCCCTGAAGAGAATATGTTGCAGATGCCAAAAGCAACAAAGGAATGGCTCCATCCCAGCCTGCTAAATCCTGTGCTGGAGGAATTGTCTCCACATCATTGCTGCCCACCTTCCAGACTGGAGAAATGTACCATCAGTCAAGTTTGGTCTGAAGGATCTCCAGACTGACAAGCCCAGGCTTTGGGACGTGCCTATGAGCTCCTTGGTTGAGACCACGCAGGCCTTGAGCAATGAGCATTTCCCAGCATGGACTGACTGGGTTCATCCCTGACGCAATGCCTTGTAGGGTGCCCCACCACGATCTCTGGCCAACCAGTGTGGCAGGGGTGTGGTGCCAATGAGTGAGCTGGGAGGAGGGTAGGCAAGGCTCCTGTGGGCATCATTGCCTACCCTGCCCCTTGCAGTGCCAGTCCTGCTGCCTGAAGGACACTGAGCTTCACATTTCCCTTTTCTTGCAGGGCTTTTCACCAGCTGAGCTTCACTGAGGAGAAGACAAGATGTTGAGGGAAAAAATGACCGTTTTTGGCAAGAAGCTGATCCGCCGGCGCATGGTGGACCTGAGCTCCAATGATACCCATTTTGCTCGCTGCCTCTCCACGCTGGACCTTGTATCCCTGGGGGTGGGCAGCACACTAGGGGCTGGTGTGTATGTGCTGGCCGGGGAGGTGGCCAAGGAGATGGCTGGTCCCTCCATCGTCCTCTCCTTCCTGGTGGCTGCTTTCTCATCGGTACTGGCTGGACTCTGCTATGCAGAGTTTGGGGCCCGTGTCCCCAAGGCCGGCTCTGCGTACCTCTACAGCTACGTTACTGTTGGCGAGATCTGGGCTTTTATAGCCGGGTGGAACCTCATTCTCTCCTACGTGATAGGTACGAGGCCAGGCAGCCTGTGTGGGGCTCCTTCCAGCGCTCTGCTGGCACCATGGGGGGTTTCTGGGGGCAGGGTGTGGGGTGGGATCAGCAGGGAGGTGGGTGCTCAGGTGTGGGTGGCTGGTGCCAGTCTGCCCTGGGCTCAGACTAATGCACAGATTTGCAATCAACCAGGTACGGCCAGTGTGGCTCGGGCCTGGAGTGCAACATTTGACAACATCATCGGCAACCACATCTCCACTTTCTTTGTCACCAACATCCCAATGCACATGCCAGGAGTGTTGGCCGAGCATCCGGACTTCTTTGCTTTGATCCTGATTTTGCTGCTTACTGGTGGGTGTGCAAGAGAGTGGCTCCATGGTATCATGGATGATGGCACAGGAGCCTGATGGGTCCTCACTCACCTCTTCTGTCCCACAGTACTGCTGTCTTTTGGTGTCAGCGAATCTGCCCTCGTGAACAAAATCTTCACGGCAGTGAACCTGTTGGTGCTGGGCTTTGTCGTCATTGCTGGATTCATCAAGGGAGACATCAAGAACTGGCAGCTTTCAGAGGAGAGCCATGGCAATTTGTCACTGCCAGACACACCGGATGGCAAGTAAGTAGGGCAACTGGGATCTGGCATAGGGCAGGCACAGGCCCTGCTGTCCTTGCACCTCACGGCAGCTGCTCTCCTGCATTTCTTCCAGGAAAAAAGCTTTTGGCTCTGGTGGGTTTTTCCCCTTTGGACTGGAAGGGATGCTGACCGGCGCTGCCACCTGTTTCTATGCCTTCGTGGGCTTTGACTGCATTGCCACCACAGGTACTGCCTTGGGTGAGGGTGGCGTGGGCATTTCCCCTGCACAGCCAGCAGCTGGCTGGGAGCTGATGGGGAGGATGCTCCCACACGGTGTGGGAAAACAGCTGGTCTCACTGCTCCTGGGAGGTTTCGCTGTGGAGTGTGTGTTTTCAGCTGGGCCAGACAAAAGGGTTCAGAGCCTGCCCTGCCCCAGGAAAAGTGGCTCATTACACCACACGGTTGGGAGCAGGGCTGCACCCCGCCTGCACAGCCAGCTCCCAGAGCAGCAGGGAGCCTTTTGACTGCTGAGCCGAGCAGTGCTGGGAATTGCTGGTGTCTCCTAGTTATTTCCCAGCCTCAGGCAGCCTTTTTTCAAATGACTGGGTTCAGGCAAAACTGCTGCTTCCTGGAGCACAGGCAGCTCTCTAATTTCCTCTCATTACCCCAGAAATCTACTTAGTGGGTGGCTGGTACAGGCTGTTCTGCCTGACCTTGCCTGTGCCACCCTGCCTCCAGGGGCTGCCCAGCAGTCTCCTCCTTTCCTGCTGCCGAGCCCCTTGCTGGGAGCCTGGTGCAGCACACCTTTGCAAAGCCGAGCACACATTCAAGGGGGATCTCTGTTCAACAGGCTCTGTAGGGAGAGGGAGCTGATGGTGGGGGGGAAGGGCTGGCATGGCCAAGGGCTGGCTGCAAGCCCAGGCTGCCAGGCAGCTCCTTTCCTTCTGCCAGTGCAGCAGCAGCATGGCCAGGGACCCCTCCTCTCTGACAGCCCCTGCTTGCTGCTCCCCAGTCCTGCGCTGCCATGGAAAGTCCCTGCTGGCTGATCCCCTGGGGGTACTGTCCCATGCTGTGCAGTGGAGTGGGGCACATGTGGACTCTTGTGTCTGGACAGGGGAGGAAGCCAGGAACCCACAGCGCTCGATTCCCATTGGCATCATTGTGTCCCTCCTCATCTGCTTTGTGGCTTATTTCGGGGTCTCTGCGTCCCTGACCCTCATGGTGCCCTACTTCCTCCTGAACAAGAGCAGCCCTCTGCCTGAGGCTTTCAAGGCGGTTGGTTGGGAGCCCGCCCGCTACGCTGTTGCCGTTGGCTCGCTCTGTGCCCTCTCCACCAGGTAGGACTGGCTCTGTTCCTGGCACTGCTTGGGGCACAGCACAGGGACCGACAGCATTAACCTGGCTGGGCTGGGGATTTGCTCTTTCCAGTTGCTGTCCTGCTCCTGGCACTGAGCTGGTCCCTTCCCCTTCTGGGTGGTAGATGTGGGCAGCTCGCCTAATCTCTCTCCACGACAGCTTGCTGGGCTCCATGTTTCCCATGCCCCGAGTGATCCACGCCATGGCAGAGGATGGGCTGCTCTTCAAGTTCCTCTCCCGGATCCACAGTGGCAGAAAGACCCCTCTGATCGCCACCTTTGTCTCGGGGTTCTTCGCAGGTAAGGCTCCTGGCCACGTCCTCACCCCCAGCCCTGCCATGGTCTGTGGGAGTGTTTGTGGGTCCCTAGGATGAGGGAAGAGATGAGAATCTTGACTCCATGTTTCCGAAGGCTGATTTATTATTTTATGATATATATTATATTAAAAGAAAATTATATACTAAAACTATACTAAAAGAATAGAGAGAAAAGAGACATCAGAAGGCTAGCAAGGAAAGGAATGAATAATAAAATTGTGTGACTGCTCACAGTCTCGACACAGCTGGCTGTCATTGGTCATCAAGTAAAAACAATTCACATGAGATCAATCAAAGATGCCTGGTTGGTAAACCATCTCCAGACCAAATTCTGCAGCCATCAGATAGTTATTGCTTACATTTCGTTTCTGAGGCCTCTCAGCTTCTCAGGAGCAAAATCCTAGCAAAAGGAGTTTTCAGAAAATATGTCTGTGGCAGTGGTCTGGAGCTGTGCTCATGCTGCCTGTCCTCATTGCAGCGGTGTTTGCCCTCTTTCTGGACCTGAAGGACCTGGTGGACCTCATGTCGATCGGCACGCTGCTGGCCTACTCCCTGGTGGCGGTGTGCGTGCTCATCCTCCGGTGCGTGACTCCTCTGTGTGGCGGTGCCCAGGGTGGATGTTCCTCACATCGTCCTGGGGGCTTGTAGTCACAGCTGTTTTCCAGGGGCATGATGCATCCTGGGGAAGCGTCAAGCCCCCAAGATGGAGGCTGCTGACCAGAGCCTGTGTGTGACTCTGGGCATATCCTTGGAGTGGCTGTCGCGGGGCCACTGCTGGAGCAGCAGGGATGTGAAGGTGCTGCCCACTGTTCCCTTGGGCTAGGAAGTTGCTTGGGCTCTGCTGCAAGCTTGTCTTACCTGCTCAGGTACCAGCCCAGACAGCCGAACTCCCCGAAGGCCGTGGAAATGCTGGAGCTGAATGGGAATGAGGAGGAGAGAGTGATCATGAACCCAGCCATCACTGCTGCCAGTGCCCAGCACAAAGAGACCGTGTCCCTGGCGACGCTCTTCAACCCGCCTGGGGACTCCCCCACTGTGCTCTCGGGGCGCATTGTCTATGTCTGTGTTGCGGTCATTGGTGAGTCAGTGGCAACTGGCGGCTGGTGTCCCCTTCTGCCAGGGGCTGGAGTGTTTTGGCCTGTCTCTGTAAAGCTGGGAAGGGATGGAGAGCATGACAGGCAGAGGAGAGGAGCTGGGTTGCCAGTCGCTGTTGGCCGTGCCAGCAGGGTGCCAAGTGCCCTAAGCAGGGTGCCAAATGCAGGGTACAGCTGTAGTTTGGGGTACACAGGCGTTGTTGGAGGACACGGGTGCTAAGCCAGGGATGTGCAGGTGGTCATGTGAGATCCTTGTGATGAGCCTGACCCATGCTGGCCACCAGCAAGGGCAGTTCCCAGCCCCTTGAGAGTGCTTGGGCTCAGCCAGCGGGGTTTGGTCCGTCTGTCAATGGCTCCATTGTACAGCCAGAGAGGGGTGGCTCAGCCAGGTCTGGGTGAGCGTCAGAGCTGGGTCCAAGCCCAGCCGGGCACAGGCTCCCTGCAGCTTGCTGGTCTGGGAAGTGCCTCCAGCAAAGCACTTTCCCAAGGCTTTGGGGTGGGTGTTAGAGGCAGTGGGTGCCTCAGCAGAGCTGTGGGTGAGGCTCAGGGTCCCAGGGAGGCCATGTGCCACACAGTCCCCTGACAACCCCCTCTCTTGCAGCTGCACTGATCACAGTCATCTGCGTGGTCCTGACCCTCAATAAGGATGCGCTGAAGGATGCCAATGTGGGCTCTGTTGTGCTTCTGGTGCTGCTCCTCGTGGCTCTGCTCATTTTCACCATCATCATTTGGAGGCAGCCGCAGAGCAATGCACGATTAAACTTCAAAGTGAGTGCAGCCCCCTGCATCTTGGTGTCTGCACCCCCTGGACTCCATCAGGATCTGGGCATTGCAGGTTCTGCCAGGGCTTGCTGCTGTTCAGTCACCAGGAAAGCTCTGAAACGTGTCTCTCTGAGGTGTAATCCTCAGTGTGGAAGTGCCTGGGTGCTGTGGGCTGTGGCGGGGAGGGGGTCCTTCCACTGGCCAGTAGCATCCTCCAGCCCAGTCTGGTCCCTCAAGGCACAGCTGACAAAGCACTTCTTGTCCCTTGCAGGTACCTTTCCTGCCGCTGGTGCCAATCCTCAGCACCTTCATTAACATCCTGCTGATGGTCCAGCTGGATAAAGGCACCTGGGCGCGGTTTGCCGTCTGCATGGTCGTGGGTAGGTGTCCTGTGCTGGGCAGTGCAGTGCCCAAGGTCTGTCCTGGGGGTCTGTTAGTGCTGCCAAGCCACCATTGCACATTTCATTATGCAAACCCTCCTGCAGGTTTCGTTATTTACTTCGCCTATGGGATTTGGAACAGCGTGGAAGGGAAAAATGCGGAAACAGCCCATGCCACAGCAGAAAAACCTCTGCACCATCCTGGACAGGACCTCAGCCCTGGGGCTGCTGCGGTCTGAGGGCCTGGAGACCAGAGCTTCATGGACCTCTTCGCCCCTTTGGGACAAGATCATGATCCAGACAGTACATCCATCCCCTCTCCTGCAGAGACTGAGTCCCTGAAGTACTAAGGTCTGAACAAAAGGTCCTGGGTCAAAGCTGACCTAGGATGAATGTCCCAACTGAATGTTTGATGTTTCCACTCGTTAACAAAGTATCGTTATATGTACTCACTTATTGGCAAAACATGTTCACCTTTCTGTATCTAGAAACAGCATAAGGCTACATAAGGCTCCTAATTAGGGAGTACAGGATCAAAGATCCTCTCCTAGATCCTCCCTGAGCCCTGGCTAGGCTTGGGGAGAAAGCTGACAGGAAAATGAAATTAGAAATGAGGTCAGCTGGTTTGTTTAGCGGTGTAAAACCCGTGCCACTGTCCCAGCAAAGCAGGGCAGCCCCGTGGCCCCCAGAGGAGGAGGCCCTGCAGGAGCTCCCAGCTCCTGGCGTGGTTCTCCAGCCCTTGGCTGTGACAGCTGCCCCCAGAGCTGATGGCTCTTGGGCCTGGGTGATGTGTGATGGATCTTCCATAGCCACTGTAGGCATTCTTTCCTAGCAATGATCAGCATTGCTCAGCTTGTCCCTTTGCAACTCTTTGCTCTTGGTTAGGTGCCTTGCTTAGCTTCCCCTTTTGTGATTCTTTGCAGTTTTCCATCATAGTAAATGCCACTGTTCCTTGAGTTGGTGTCTGTGTCTCTGACCCTACTCACCAGGAAAACAAAATCAGTGTAGTCAGCAGGGCCAGAACAAACTGTTGCTTTTAAAATCTAAATTAAAGTAACCAGTCCTGTATGAAATTGCCAGATGGGAAGAACTTCCATATAGTTCACTGGTCCTCAGGTGGGCTAAGGTTGGAGGACCATGTGAGCAACGGAGAAGTCAGTTAAAAGAAGCTGAACTGCTGGATGTATTGAAATGCATCCAAAAATCACATACTGAAAAAAGAAAAGAACTTGTGGATTTGGAAAGGCAAGGATGGATTTTGTTAACAGTATATCAAACAAACAAAACACCAACAAAAGGAACAGTTGTTGAAATGCTCTAACATGAACCAACAGATGTGAGTTGCAGAATCAAATTGTAATGCTAAAATGCCAAATTAAGCTGCTTGCTGATAAGATGGATTTACCAGACTTGCTGAGAAGGCTGCAGTTAGAGTAGCTCAGTATAAGGAAAGGAGGGGGCAAGTGAAGCACAAGAAAATGCATGCAGTGATTGCAGAGGCAGGTGTGCAGTGGGATCCTGATGAATGGAACGGAGATATTTGGGCTGCTGTGGATTCTGATGAGGTTGGTTCCCGAGATGAATTTGTAGATGTGAGACCAGCATGAAGACAAATGGTAGAATTAGATGCTAATGATCAGGAGGGATACTCATAGAGGATTATACTCAGCAGGAAGTAAATTAAATATTTGAGCAGTTTAGTAAAAAAAAGGGGAACCTCTTTTCTCTTGGATGGTGTGCTTGCATGACCAGGGAGCATCAGGGATAACCCTAGACTCAGGGGACTCTAAGAACTTTTTAGATTGAGTTTGGATTTTTTGTGCAGGATGCATTTTGGAATAACGTTCACAATACTAATTTGTTAGCTTTGGCTGCTTTGGATGGAATACTAAATACCCTACAGCAAATTATTGGCCAGGATCTGAAAAAGTCAGTGGTACACTTTGTGAGATTGTGTACAATGAGATGCAAGAGAACCTTGTGATTTTGTGTTTGTAGATAATGTTACTGACTGAAGATACAAGTAGTCACTCCAGTATTTCTACCTGTAACTTTATTGCAATGATAGGCTTTTAGTTATTTATTTTTTTATATTTTTTAAATGAAGATACTTAGTTTTTTACTTCCTGTTATATCCTGTCAATTTTTTGGAACCTAACTATACCCTGATTCAAGACTTGCAGCCTACTCCCATTGGTATGAAGTGGTAAAGGTTCTGTTCCAACACACAGACCTGAGGCTTGCTGAAATAAACCCAGGACAATGGATAAAAGGCTTTGATGGCTGTCCATCATGGTATGGCAGAAATCCATCATGTGATGGAGACATGGATAGTGGGACATTATTTTCAGATGGATGCCTACAGCTACCTGAATTTCCAACTGAGTGCTTCACCCTGGTGTTGTTTTATTGATGCTAATCATTTTGCTTTTTGTTGTGATAATTGCATTGCATGTTAAGGTTTGGATGATCATGAAACAATTATCTTACCAACTACCTCCACTGATACTAGACAATCCATGTGGTACCAAAGCATGAAATGCTCTCGAGCTCTATTTGGATATTGTGAAGCTTGAGTGATTATAGTCACAGGGTGTATTGTGTAGGACAATGACTGGGAACTCTGTGGACAGGTAACTGGGGGTACAATTAGAGGAAACTGAGGACTTAGAACAGTTTGGAAATTATGGGGTATATATATTCCTTAATTTGGTGTCTGTGTCTCTGACCCTACCTACTGGCAAAACAGAGTCAGGACTGCAGAGCTGGGTCATGAGCTGCCTCTTCCCTCACAGGGAAGTCACCTGGCTGGATGGGAGTGCTGGTGGCCCAGGGCTGGTCTCTGCCCTCCTCCAGTCCCACAGAGGGGCAGTGACACCAGCACAGCCCCCTGGCCATGAAAATTGCTTTCTCTGTGCACAGGAGGCCCACATGATGGTGTAGCTGTACTCATTCCATCTGCCACGTGGCTGTGTCACCAGCTCCTCCCTGCCTTCCAGGTGCCAGACCTGTACCTGGCAGCCCTGGCTGGAGCTCTGCAGGAAAGCTTACTGCAACTTGTTCTGGTACGCATGGTACTCACTGCTCTGGTACTGCTCTCACCATGCTGTTTGATGTCAATATCTTGCTCAAGTGTCAGTGAGATGTCCTCAGTGTAGTTGTTCTTGTGTCCAACCTCATCTGCCTTTTAGAATTTTAGGGTGAATTTTTAAATCTATTAAATTAAATGTTTGTAAGTGCTTTTTCCTGTTAGTCTTGCTGTTAATGGCCTGGGGTCATGGGCCTCTTGGCAGGACCCTACCTGCCAACTGGGCTGGGTACCAGGCTGGTGCCATTGCAGAACAGTGCTGGGTGACATCCCTGCCCAAACCCCCCCAGCTGGAGCTGCCAGTGCCCACTGTGAGCCAGGAGCTGTAAGCAGTGCTTCAAACCAGCTCCAGACAGTGCTGCTGGCACCTGGGGGGCAGGACAGCAGCCTGCCATGGTCCTGCCTCTCCGGCCCTGTGCAGGGAGGGATTGTGCCCCCAAGTTCCAGAGCAGTGGATACAGTAAAGGCCTTGGAAGTAATACCTCCTGGAGGTGCCAGCAATGGCCTGCAGAGGAAGTCTGACCAGAAACTGGGCTGCATCCATGAGAGAAGATGATTTTCCAGATTTTGTTCTGGTCTAAATCAGATCTGACATAAGTATCCAAAACAAACCTAATTTAAGGCAGATGGACTGTGCTTGGTTTTGGCATCTCTCGCTGTTCATTGGCAGTGGTGCAGGGTCCCTGCACGGTCAGTGGTGAGGGACCTGCACCATCAGCTCTGCCTGGCCCCTGTGCTGGAGCTGGGAGCCCTCCCCCAGGGCTGTCCCTGCAGCAGAAGGGGCTGTGGCTCCTGCTCTGGCCCCAGCACAGGCAACCACTGCCCCAGAGTCCCAGGCTGCTGTCCCTGCCACAGCCTCAGGCAATAGGGCAATGGGCCTGTGATACAGCTGCAGATGTCACCCCCTGTTCCTTTGTTTGTGTCTGTGTCCCCCCACACGTCTGCACATCCATGCCCATGTCCATTTGTGGGTCTGTTTGTGCCCATGGGCACATCCCTGCCTTACAGGCCATCCCACTGAGCTCTGCCATCCCAGCCTGGGCATCCCTGGGACTGGCAAAGTTCAGGGCATGGAGCAGGATTCTGGAAGCTCTGGACAGCTCCCACCATGGCAGCCCAGCAGGGCAAGCAGCTGTCTGGCAGCTTTGGGGAGTCAGTCCAACTGAGCCATGGCTACAGCAGCCCTGTTCCCCCCCAGGCTCTGGGCCAGGCATCCTGTCCTTGGCCACCAGCCTGCAGGGGCTGTCCCCAGCTCTGCACCCACTCTGGGGGTCCCTGCCTCCCTCTCTGTGCAGGCTAGCAGGGCTGCCAGGGATGGCACCACATCCTCTGCTGGGCAGCACCTCTGCCCTTCCCAGCCCGTGCTGGGGTTACTGCACATCTCAGCACAGCAGCTGGTGAACAACAACAGCCAGAACAACAGTCAGAGCCTCAGTGTGTGTCTGCACAAACCATCTGTGTCACTGCTGTACCCACTGCCCCAGCAGCCTGCTCAGATAGCAGCCCAGCTCCATCCCAGAGCCTGGGAGGAAAGCATGTTCCTGGGGAAGCCTGTCAGGGGCTGGAGGGTGGCTTTCCCCTCCTGTACCAGTCTGGGAGGGGCCCTTTTGTGGTTTGAGAGAATCAGCGAAAAACAGAGCCTGGCTTTGCTGTTGGGCGGCCCGTGATGAGCCGCCCTTCTGGGGAAGGAAGGAGGAACCAGCCCCAGCACAGCTGCGTGTGGTTTGCCCTGGCAGTTGGGTCATTTCCTCCCCAGGCTTGATATGTCATTTCCTCATTGCCATTCCCCCCTGGATTGAAACGGGAGCAGGATGGCTGTTGAGTCAGTCCCACAGTGTCTGGCCCAAGCCATGCTGAGCAGGCAGGTGGCTGAGGAGGCCCCTGTGGCCACTGGCTGGTGACAATGTGCTCTGGGGTCATGCCAGGAATGCAGTGCTGCTGGCTTGGGTTGTTGGGGGTGCAGAGGGTGGGTACTGCCAGCCTCCCTCCCCATCTGGCTCCACCACACCCCATGGCATTCATAACTTCATATCTTACCTGGATAACTTCATATCCAGCTGGTTTGGGGGGACATGGGGCTTTCCTGGTGGACCCCTCAGAGCAGCTCTCTGGACACCAGATGCTGCCACCTCCAGGGGGGTACCAAGGGACCATGAGAGTGGCCATGCAGGCTGGGGGCAGGATGGAGATGGGGGCTGTGCTGCTGAGCCTCTGGAGGCAGAGCTGCAGCTGCAGAGCCTGTCCCTGCACTGCTCCCTGGCCAGAACAGGCCTTGGCAGGCAGAGATGTAGCAGCAGATTAAATTTTGATCCGCTTGGGAATTAAAATAGGCTGGCAACTCTGCTCTGCTCTGTGACACCAAATGCTTCAACGTGAGGAGTTAATGTGCCACCTTCTTCCCTGTAAATCTGAGCACTGTCAGATCCCCTTCCCTGCTGTTGGGGCAGAGGGGCAGTGGCTGCTGAGTGGCATGAATCCAGCAGCAGGGCCTGAGTCCTGGAATCTGGGAATTGACCCCAGGCAGATGGGGTCACTGGTGTAAGAGCAAACTGGTGTCAGCTCCTGACAGTTCTTGCAGCAGCAGTGGGTTGTGCTCCCTCACAGTCCAGAAGGGCTCCAGGAAATCAAAGCAGGTGATGGGGGAGATTTTATCACTCCTTTCTCACCTGGCTCCAGGCAGGGCCCAACCCTTCTGTTCCCTGTGGTGAGCTTAAGCACACATGACCCAGTAGCTGTGAGGAGCCTGTGTGCATCCAATAATCCTCTTGCCCTGACCTGTGCCAGGTGGCAGCTCCCTGTAAACACACAGGCTTAGTGCTTGCCTCTCTTTGCCTTTGCAGGCCTGCCATGATGGCTGCTGCCACATGGCTTCTCTTCCCTTATTCTCCTTTATTCCCAGTGCTGCCCCTGCTGCCCTGGTTCCTGCTCTTGTCCCCTAGTCCTGGAGCTGCCAGCATGCTGTGATGGCACCTGCACCCTGCAGGATGTCACCCTGCAGCTTCAGAGGAGTCCCTCTCATGAGACAGCTGTACCCCCATGGCACCCACACCTCACTGAGGGGGAAGTGAGCCTGAGTGAGTGAGTGGTGCAGGGAGGAGATGGCAGAGGCAGCACAGGCAGTGCAAGTGGCACATTTATGGTGCAGATGGGAAGTTTTCCATCAGTGTGGCCACTTCCTGATGAACTACCCCTTCTGTGCCACCATCAGGATCACGAAAGGCTGCACAGGTGTGCTGGTTTCCCAAGCTCATACACAAGAGATTTCTTGCTAATCATAGAGTTTTAAGGCTTTTACATCCCCCTGTCCTCCTTAAATTTTCCCATTTTCCTGCTGTGTTTATCCAAGTAATTATTCCATCTCTAATTCATATTCTCCACACAGGACCTCACACTGATGGTGCTTTGCAAGGCTGGACAGATGACTGCTCTTATTTTTCCATTTTTATGCCAATGTGTCCTGTTCCATTTCACTGCATCTCAGGGCAGCCTGCACCATGGGCTGGCCAATGCTGACATTTTTAAAACCTGCTGAAGAATAAACATGCAGTTCCTTCAAGACCTGTGGCAGCTGTACAGGCACAGTAACCTGACTTGCAAAACAAACAGGTAGGAGACATTTTGACAAACTGAATGTAACACCCTTCCCAGCTCAGTTATCAAGACTTTGGGGTAATGTGAGTGTTAAACTAATTTAACTGCCTGGTCTGCACATAGGTGTGCAACAGTTTCTATCATCCTGGACAAGATAATGCATGAAAAATCATGACACATTACTGGGCAGGGAGCAGCTGCTATTGTTTACATAATACAAACCAAATTTACAGACAGAATTTAACTTGTTCAATGGAATTACCTCCCCTGCCTGAGAGGTTCTTGGGGACAGATCAAAAAGGGTTTAGATCTCATCTTGTTTGGACATAAGAACAGGCCAGAGAGTGTTGGCCATACTCATCTTAAAATGGGAAGAAATGCAGGGGAGTTCTTGGTTCCCTCCTCTCTGAAGTGATCACTGAGCATTTGTTATGTTTTACAGGCTGCTCCAATTGTGGGACAGGTGACAGGACAGGGAAAACTCTCCTGAATTTTCTCAAGCTGCTGATATGAAACATAAGGACTGGTCTGATTGAGAGCAGAAGCAACTTGTTTTCGACATCAGTCCTGAGCCACTGCACAGCAGGAGAGGAAAAGCCAGCAAGACAGAAGTGCAGAGAGCCATGGTGAGACTCTGCACCCTCCTAGTGTCCATGTCTGTGTTTGCAAGTGACAGCAGCTTTACAACACCAACAGACGTGTCCCCCACCCAGTTTGTGTCATAAAGTGGCTCTGACACACAAAGTGCAACTGCTGCAGGGTTCAATGTTGGAGTGGCTGGACACCAGGTGCCCACCAAGCCACTTGTGTCACTTTCCCCCTCAGGGTGTCCCTATCCTTGGCAAGGTGTTGGAACTAGCTGTCTTTAAGGTCCCTTCCAACCCAACCCACTCTGTGACTCTGTGATTTGTCCAGGTTACTCCATGAACAGGGCTCACAAGCTAAAAATAACCTGGAACATGCATTTCCCCAAAGCCTAGGAAACCTGGTGTCTCCTCCCTGCTAGCTGGTGGAGACATAGCTGGTATCTTGATTACATCCATAGGCACATGGTGACATCCCTGATTTTGTTCCCAAGAACTGAACAGCTGTTGGGCTTCCCTACCTTCCTGCTGACTTTGGGCCCTGTAATGCCAGCATCAGAGCAGCCAGTAAGGTCTCCACATGGCTGTGATCTTTCCACATGTCTCAAAGTTCTTATGAGGGCAGACTGGGTGGTTTCTGCTTCCTGTCTGAATTCCCTCACTCCTTCCTGCATTTTCTTTTGTCAAAAATCAGCTTCTTGACGGAACCCTTCTTCTCCCTCCTCCCCTAGTAACTGGTGATACAGACCCATTGACTTCCATGTCCACTGGGTTTTTCCCACAACTGGGGCAACTGCAGTTCTTGTTTGGGCCCCTATCTCTACTCTCACCTCAGATGGAGCTTGTCCCCAGTCTCAATCAGGTTACTCTCAGAGGTGGCTGGGCTCCCTGAGTTAACCACAGCCCTCTGACAGCCCTGAACTGGGCTTTGCAGGCACATGCCAAGCCCCAGCGCAGTGCCAGAAGCTGCTGGTTTTCACTGGGCTAGGCACCTTCTGTCAGTTGGCATGTGTTTGCCAGGGGTACTTGCCTGTTCAGGTGTAGTCCCAGGCTATGGGAGGTGATAACTAGCCCAGGCATTTGCCCAAATCCTTCCACACACTCTGCCACCCACGGACCAGCTGCCTCAGGGCACATTTCAGTACTGACTCACCCAAAAATTGTCTTCTCTTACACCAGGATGACACCAGATTACACAGGCCCCATGATATGCCAACCACGTTAATTAGTAGCATTTAATATTTCACATAAGGCTAAGCAGGAACAATAAAGCCACCCACACCAGGTGGGAGTGGGAAATGGATCCTCTCCACAAGGCAGCTCCCCCAGCAGAGCAAGGCCATCAGTGCCAGGGCAAGGCACAGAGCCATGGTTTGTACTAACATGTTCCCAAAGAGATAAGAAGTGCAGCCAACAAACTCTGTGGCCCAACAGGAGCTGCCTACTTAGTAACTACTATGGCTAAAGCACACTTAGCACAGAACAGCCATTGCCTCAGGCCCCACTCTGGGCACCAAACTGTGGAGGGCTGACCCTGCCTGGACACCAGGTACCCACCAGGTACCCACCAAGCTGCTCCCTCACTCCCCTCCTCAGTGGGAGGAAGGCAGGGAGAAAGGAAGATGGGAATGGAATTTGTGGGCCAAGATAAAGGCAGTTTAATAAAGCAAAAGCAAGGCTGCACGTGGGAACAAAGGAAAACTAAATATTTATTGTCTACTTTTGACCAGCAGGAGATGTCCGGCCACTTCCTGGGAAGCACAGCTTCAGTGCACAGAGCAGCTGCTGCAGAAAACAGATGTTTTAATAAAGAATGCCCCCCATGTCCCTTCTCTTAGCTATTGCTGCTGAGCAGATGCTCAGCATTAGGGTCTGGAATATCCCAAGATCTTGCTCCCACCCCAGCCTGCTGGTGAGGTGGGAATGTTAGAGACAGCCTTGATGCTGTGGGAACATTGTTCAAGAATAGCCAAAACATTGGTGTTTTATCAACAGCTTCCTAGCTACCAACACAAAACACAGCTCCACAAGGGCTGCTAGGGGTGAAATTACCTTCTTCTCAGTCAGACCAAATACAACTGTTTATTTAAAAAAATTAACAGAAACTTTTAACAAAATCACACCGAACAGTGAGGATCTGAAAAGCCAGGCAGCACTGGGGGCATCACAAAGAGAAATGCTCTGCAGGCCCTGACCAACCCAAGGGCAAGATGTGCAGACAGGCACCTCCAAGTAGATGGTAAGACCTTGTCCACTTCTCTCATTCAGTGATACTGTTTATTGAGCAGGTGAGGTTGTAAATTAGAAACCTGAATCTCTTGTGCATCCTCACTAGGTGCCCAGGCACCTGGAGGGCTCCAATGGTGATAAGCTTTTAAAAAAAGTTCCATTTGAAAGCAACCACAGCTGCAGTTGCAGCTTGGAGGAAGCCACCTGCTTAAGTGCAACATGAAGAATATGTCATAGCATAAGGTGTGTGTGACATGCTGCATTTCTTCTTGCCCAAAATCCTACAGAGCTGTCCATTTTTTCCCCTTGTTGCCCTGTACCAGCACAGAACATCCTCTCTAGCTCAGGAAGAAGGGAGAATGAACACATGTATATCCACAGTCTAAGGAGAGTCACCTTTTGCTGGAACTTGGATCTCACTCCATACCCCATCCCAAATGTGAGAACAGGGCTAGCTCTGGAAGGACAGAGCCCTCTACGAGCTAGGAGCCACGAGGCAATTAATAGATTGCAGGCTGGTGATTTGCCTTCTGCATCTGGATGATCTTGCCAAAGCCACCTCTTCCCACATCGTAGTCTGTCCGGTATTCATCTCGCACCTGGGGCACAGCAACAACACACATTAACAGCCAGCACTGCCAGACCCCAGAATCATCCTCCCCTCCTTGTTCAGCTGGTGGGGAACTGAAATTCACATTAGAAGCACTTCAACTCGTCTGAGATCTCTTCAACTAATCCACCAAAAAGGTGGTAATGGTGGTGAAAATGACCAAAAAGGATATATTTGATTGTGAAGATTTTTTTCAGGTAAGAAGCAAAGACTCCAAAATATTTTTTTGTTCAGCTTTTCAGTATGCCCTTCTGAACTGCCAGGCTTGGCCTTCAGAACACTTTATCTCATCTAAACCTCATCTTTGCCCTTGGGGAAACTGCTGTGTTATGAGATTGGCCTGGCAGCCACACTGCTTCCCTCTACTCAAATTCTGGATCATTTCAAGGGTACTACCTTGGATTAGGGAATATTCTGCTTGCATTGCAGGAAGTTTGGAGTCCTAAACAAAAGTGCCAGCCTTTATCACCAGGTGTCAATTACCAAAACAACCTGGGAGTGAGTAACCTTGGTTATCAGGTCTTTAGAGTCTGCACATTGTTCTCCCCGAGACAAAACCAGCAAGTAAGTACACAGAGTCTTACAGGATCGAATTCAGGGATGAACTGGCATTGCCTTTACCTGTCCTCCAGTCTTTCCTCTCCCATACTGCCTCCCCTCCTTGAAGCCTGCGTCCCAGTCCGTGCGGATGATGCGGTCGTCCAGCCGCGTGCCGTTGATAAACCTCATGGCGTGCTCAGCGTCTGCTCTCGTGTAGTACCTGAGGCACTCTGTAAGGACAACTCAGGGTGCTTTTTGTAGGGCACAGGGAAAAAAATGAGGGAAGTATTGTATTTGAGAAGCTGAACTCTCCCCACTGCCTTCCAGCCTTTTCTGCTCTTCTCTACGGGATCAAAAACTGCACTCACGAAAATCCAAGCTAAGACCAGCTCAGCATGGATTCTGTACTTTAATGTGAGTACCTGCACAGACAAGACAATGGAACAAAGACATTAAAGCCTTGCTAAGGGCAAGAAATCAGCCTTTTTGTGCTATGTAAAACCTGACTGAAATAGAACAAAAGGAGAGCTTTGCACAGACAGCTCCTGGCACAACCTGTATAAGCGTGTACCCTCTGCTTGAAAATGCCCCCATGGCTTATCCTGCTACTTCCTTCAGGTGTGCAGTTGAGAGGAGAAAGCAAACACGTGCTCTGGCCATGGAAGATGTCAGGCTGATGACTAACACTTCTCATTTTGGCCCTAAAAGCATTAAAGAAATTAGTGAATTAAAGGGGCTCTCTTCCACCTCCAGAAACTACAGCTCTGGTGGCACTTGTCACATATGGCACCACTATACAGTCACTCTCAGGGTGCAGAGAGGAAGGTGCAAGGAGGGACAGGATGTGCCTGGTAGGAAGCACCTGGCTATCACCTTTCCAGCAGCAGCACAGACACACTTGCTGTGCCGAGGAACTACAGGTGCCAACCACACCCGTACTGACAGGAGGAACCAGAAAGGATACTCTACAAAGCAGAAGCCACAAGGGGTTTTCTTGATCTTGTCCAGCCCCATGACAATCCTCTTGACATCCCCGCACTTGGAGAAGAGCTCCTGGATCTGCTCCTCGGTGGTGTAGAAGGACAAATTGCCGACATACAGCGTGGAGGAAATCTTCAGCGATTTCTCCTGCAGCTGCCTGCTACCCTGCGGGCACAGAGGGCACGCCGCGGGCTCAGCGCGCTCGCCGTGCCGCTCCTGCCGCCCCGTGCCCTCCCTCTGCCCGGTCCCTCGCACGGCCTTGTCCCGGCCTCAGCCCTCCTCGCCCCGACCGGGCCCCGCCACCCGCCGCGCCGGGCGCACCCGGAAGTGCTGGTCGCGGTACTGGCTGATCTCGCAGTACGAGTCGCTGTTGAGGCCGCTGAGCGTGGTGTGCAGCAGCCCCGACATCGCTCCCGCCCGGGCCCCGCCGCCGCCGCCGCCGCCGCCGCCGGGATCCTTCCACAACCGCCGCGCACCGGACGCGGCGAGCGGCGCGCGACAGACGCCGCTCCGCCGCTCTGCGTGATTGGTCACACTGGCTGTCACTCAGGGCGGAGGGCGGGGCGAAACAGCCAGACGGGCAGTCGGCGGCGCGGGGGCTCGCCGGCAGCGCTGGGTCGGGGCGCGCAGGCGCAGTGCGGGGGCGCTGCTCCCGTGGCTCGGCGTCCCTCGCGGAGCTCCCTGAGGGGCCATGGCGGGGCCGCGGGTGGCGGCCGTGGAAGGTGCCGCGGGCTCTCCCTTCCCGATAAGTGCCGTCACTGGCGGCTGATGTTGGGCTGAGTGTCACGCCCCGCTGTCCTCTTGTATTTCAGCGCTGGTGCGGGAGCTGCTGAAGGAAGAGGCGCCGTCCCGCATCGCCGCCCTCACGGAGGAGCTGTTCCGGGCGGCGGAGAGCATCTCTGAAGAGGACGGGAAGGTGGCGGAGGGAGAGCCCCCCGCTCCCAACCCGTCTGACGAAACGGGGGGTGCATGTGCTCCACACCCCACAGCCCTGGCCCAGGTTGGTGCTGCAGCTCCGTAAACACCAGCTGCTGCTGCTTCCCCCCCGTGGCGGGGAAGCTAGAAGTGTAGCGCTACTGAAATGCAAAGAAAACAGTTCACTTCTTCTTCGTTTGCCCCAAAAGCGTGAAAGTCCGAAACAAAGTGGGAAATGTTATTTTTAAAAGTCAATGTGAAATGATGTTGAATGTAAAAGTGTGTGTGTCATTGACCCTGCATTGACCAAGCTGAATCTGTATGTGTTCTCAGTGTGTTCTCCATGAGACCCACCTGGATTCTGTGTCCAGGTCTGGGGCTACCAGCTTTAGAAGGATGTGAATCTGCTGGAGGGAGCTGTGAAGGTGATTGAAGGGCTGGAGAACATCCAGATGGGAAAGACAGATGGAGTTCAGCCAGAAGAGAAGGCTCTGGGGAGACCTTACAGCACCTTCAGTGTCTAAAGGGGTTCCAAGAGAGCTGGAGAAGGACTTTGGGCAAGGGCTTGAAGTGACAGGAAGAGGGAAATGACTTTATGTTGAAAGAAGGTTGACTTAGATTAGATATTAGTAAGATACTGAGAGGGTGGTGAGGCCCTGGCACAGGTTATGCAGAGAAGCTGTGACTGCTCCATCCCTGGAAGTGTCCAAGACAGGTTGGACAAGGCTTGGAGCAACCTGGTCTGGTGAAAAGTGTCCCTGCCCATGGCAGGTGGTTGGAACTGGGTGATATTTAAGGTCACTTCCAACCCAAACCATTCTATGACAATAATGGGAAAATTACTGGTTACTGATGATGTTAAGGTATTTATTATTTCAAACCACTAGTAGTATCTGGTTGTAATTTTAAGTAAAAATGCAAGCACAGAGCACTGATGCATTAAGAGTTTGGTACTGGATCAGAGGAGAGGTCCTTCTCACCCTGTCTGTGGATTCCCATAGTGACAGCAGATAACCCAAGGAAGAAGAAAACAAGCAAGCATGTCATTTTAGCTGCCTGGTAAACAATATCCCAGTATACAAAACTATATTGGAGGTACTCATTTTCAGTCATTGTAAAAGTTTATCAGGTGGTTGTTTATAATGTTTGGTTTATTTCTCCTAGAGGAGTACTTAGCAAGAAGTAAACATTTACTTTAGAAGTCCTTTTTCAAAGAGAAATCTGGTAATACATGAATCTGAAATAAGGAAAAAGACCAGCTGAAAAATTGTCCAACTTTTTCCTCTAAAATTATATTTTCAAGAGACATTTAAGAAGTAGCAATTATCAGCTAAGGAACACTGATTTTAAAGTCTTAAATTTGCAACAAGAAGTGAGATAAGTTAGCAAGTGTTGTAACAGAAAGTATCAATAGTACAGTGTGTAAAGAAATACAAGAGCATAGAAATGGTACCCTTCAGTTCTTCCTGAATCAGTTGGGCTAAATTATTTTTGAAAAAAGGAGAAATCATAAATTTGTAATCTGACCACTTCAATAAGAGGGGCTATGAACTCTCTCCTAGACAGGCAAATATTTATTCATAGGCAAGATCTGTCATGAAAAGTAGAATAAAGTGGTGGAAAATCAGCCCCTCAGGGTGGGTTGCTAAAGCAGCTTATTGCCTTTATGTAGTGCTGTGTCTTTTTAACAAGAGTATATAAGTAACCTTTGTTCTTTGTTTGCTAATATCTGAAGTTTCCCAGTGTAGGTATTTAAAGTAATTAAGCTACTTTGTGTTCTTTTGGATGTGCAAAAGAGGTGAAGCCTTACTACAGATAGTTCTCAAATGTGATGAGATTCTTAGAGTTCTTCTCCAACCCCTTCAGATTTTAGGTGAAGAAATGCTCCATCCATTCAGCATGCCTGTTCTCAGGTCACTGTCCACCAGGTCCCTGTGGGATCCTGTGACAGTTTTATGGAAAACTCACACCTTTGGTGTGAAAGGGAGCTGGGTAAACATGTGGAGAGGCCATTCCTGTGAAACACTTGAAAGGTGCTTCTTTTTCCAGTTGTAAATTTCAATGGGATCCACATCCAGGACACAATTAAACTGAGTGGAATTCTCCTCTCCAGGTTGAAGAGAGTGCAGTCAGCTTGTGGAACTGGACAGTGACCAAACACACGGGTGCTGTTATCAGTGATGAGCAAAGAGCCAAATGTACGTATGTTCTGTGCCTCCCTGGGGTGTTCTGTGTGCTGCAGCATGGAGACCAAGCACTCCCTGCTGGCAGGCACATAGGCAGTGCTGGAGATTTGTTTGAGTCTTTGCAGACACGGGCTAGAAAGAGAAAAATGTATTGATGGTCTTGTATAAACAGTTCAAGAAGCATCCTGAATGTAGTTGTTATCTTGTGACACCGAATCAGTGCAGGCATTCTTATCACTCCCCTTTCCATGCCAGAGCACCAGCAAAGAGGTGATGTGACCAAAGGAAGCTGTAATTTGCATTTCTGATAGTATGGTTCAAATATAAAAATGTATGGAAATAACATAGATGTAAATCTTAGACTGTTGGTCACTTAATTTATATCAAGCAAGGTTGTTTTTTTCATGTAGCTATCTCATCCCTGTTTACATACAGAAACATTCTAAGTCCTCTTTTCACTGACCTGCTTTAGCCAGGTGCACAGCTCCTGGGTTCTCTTGGGCCAGGAGCAGGGCTGGGGGAAAGCAGAAATGAGCTTTTGGTGTTTTCCCTCAGCATGTTCTTTCTGTGGTTCTGTGGGATTGCAGAGTCAGGCCTGCATTCTTGTCTTGAGGGATTAGAGTCAAAATGATGTACAATCTGCATCATATAAATTACACCAGCTAAGGGAAAAAGGGTAAGTTGACATAAAGTAGAACATGATGTTCTCAGATCACAGCTGAAGGGCCAGGGAGAGGCTCTTTTAAATTAAGTAGTGTCTTTTCCATCCCTGATGTCTAAGGAAGGCCTGAAATTTTTGCTTTTTACTTTGAAACTGTAAAGATTATTAAACTTCATTTCCTTATTTTGCTGAAGGCTATTTTGAGGCTTTCAAGAAATGTTACTGTAAGCACCTGCAATGTAATTAAATCTTTGAATACCATGTATTTAACTTAAACTCTCTCTAAATTGTTTAATAGGTATTTTAATGAGAATATATATTTTTTTCTTACTGTCTGAAAAGCAATTTTAAACGTCTTGGCTAAAATTCAGATTTCTTTGACTCCTGACGCTTTCACATTTTTCTGTCTTGTGATTTAAAATGCCAGATAGTCTTTCAGATATGGCAGGGCTTGACTTTCTGAAAAAAAAAAATTAAGAAGTAGAGAGAAGGGAACTTGAATGCCTGCTCTGTTTTCTTGCAGTGCGGTTTGTTGCCTGCAGACTGATTTGCCTTTGTGAGGGCAGCGATCCTCCGGAGGGAACTATTAGAAGACAGATTTTGGTAAGGCTCATTGTGGGTGTGTAATGAAATACAGTTGATCCCCCAGGGAAGTCTTCAAATCTTGTTACATTTGCTTTGGAAAGGGAGTGAGGTATACGTCTGGTTCTGGAAGGGTAACTGGTGTTTTGGCAGGAGCATTGCTGACTCTCTCTTCTCATCACTTAAAGATAAGATTGATGATCCCATTTTTTCCCTTTTAAGAACACAAAGTACATGCTGAAGTGGGACCTGTGTCTTACAGGGATACCTTGCTGAGCCATTGGAGCTTGGAGTGTCTGGGCAGTGTGGTTATCACATCTTCTCATAGGGTAAAATATGAGCAGGACATGCATTTATTTCAGTGTAGTGAAGGTCCTATGTATTGCATAAGTGGGTCCTAGCTATTCGAAATGAGCCACAGCTGCGAAGTCCTTAGTTGGGCAGCAGCTGTGGCTCATAAAGATAACTGGGATAAAAGGGGTGGGCTGAGAGCTTGGAGGAGCCCCTGTGAAATTGTGAGGAACTGTGCTACAGAAAAGAGCTATGTGGTAGAAAACCAGCTAGAAGGTGTGGACTTTAAGAATATAATGACAACAGTATGGGACTCTAGAAATATGATAATAGCAATAAGATAACAACAACTTTTCAGTATCTCATAATATTGTCTAGTGGGCCACCATAAGTCTTATGCTCTGAGTGTTTGTTCAGAAGTGAGAGTTGCTGGTCAGAAATTACAGAGCTGAAATACCTCTGTCCTGTGTTAGATCTGTGCTACAACAAGATGAGTTCTTACATTGCCTTTCTTGAAAGTGACTGCATTTTCACAAAAGACTTACTACCTCCTTCAGATGTCTATGAAAACTGGGAAAGGATGGATAGATATTGGAAAAGCTGCTCTTGCAGATGGATTTCTAGAGAATGCCATGAATGTAAGTTCTTTGCCACTTTTGATTTCTTACATACACCCCTGTTTGTAAGTTCCATGGGTGATGCCTGCACTTTGTTTTGCAGAGTATAGAGAAGCTGTATGCCAAGTTACGGAAGGGCAGCGAGGGTGAAGCAGATATTCAAGTGCACAGAGCTGATGTGGAG